TTCTACGTGGCTCGAGCACGACCTCAAGTTTGGCCCAGTTTCTGTATATGGCCGAACTCTTTCAGGCCAGGTATTACTTTAGACATTTCAAGCACGATGATTGGAAGTTGAAGGTATTTCCTTCTGCCTTGAGCCCAATTCCTCCTGGACTCTTTTTTTAACAGACGCTTGTATCGGTCGCCTTATTACTCGACACTGTTTCCACCGTGGGCGACTATGCCTGTGTATATCTCGTAAGCGCTCACATTCTGCGTTTTACAAGCTCAGACTGAGTGCCTTAACAGTACACAATAACTCATGCTGGTATGTCTCAGATTTATCAACGGCCTGAGTGACCGCCTACGATTTACATGCAGGCGATCCCGGGTACCTTGCCGACCAGCATTGGGTACGTCAAGCAGTATGAACCTCACGCGTGGAATAATCGCAACATTCCAGCCCATCCCGCTATTCCTCTTCACCACCGCCGTGACTGCTATCCTGGTCCAGAGCTTTCTAGTCGTTCGATATTGGGGGCTGTGCGTGTTGATCCTTGCTACCGCCCGCCCTCTCACAAGAATACCGATCTAGCACCAGAAACATCCTTGTCACTCTTTTAAGTTCCTTCTTGAGCATTGTCACGGTACGCAGGCGTTTGTCTTGCGCACCGCGGCCTACCCACTGTCTGCCGTACACAGTTCGGAAGCGCATTCGCATGTGGCGTGATAATCGCGATGTTCCCCGCATTCAAGGAGCGCGAGAAGGTCAAGATTCCGGGAATGTGCGTCCCTCACCGTGGCCACGGCCGAGAAGCTCTGCTCTGCTGTTTATGTATTCATTCCCCGTCGATTTATAAGGATCTGGCTTGTGACCGAAGTCGTGGCGGACCTCAGCATCGCTGCGGCCCTGCTTTGGGAGTTAAGGAAGGCCAGGCCCACTTTGGCGGACAAACGGAGGTGCGGAATACTGTGACGCTGATTGCGGAGAAACGTATGGCTCATAATCGTCGCCATGATACTTAACAGTGTCCTGGACCGGCTGGTGGTGTCGACGATCCGGACCGGGACAGCGACGGCCACGCTTGCCGTGGCGACTCTCATTTCGTAGGTCCCATATGCTTCTAAGATTCGTCATCAACTTACAAGACCGAACCGTGGCTGCCAATTTTAGATTTCTGTTGAAGGAGGAGACCACTAGTCCGTCTTCCGAGTTCGTTTGATGTTGCGCATTAGACCCATCTGCGCTTGATAGTCTCCACAGGTATCGCGTACACGCTTGGGCGTGTGTACGTGCTCAGTATGGTGCGCTGGTATTGTGTCCGGATTAGTGGGGATGCGGTTCACCCTCCCTTAGCTCGCGAATCTCAACATCCGGTGGTCGGGCAAGTCTGCATCCATGGCCAGTGGCGGCGCATCGTCCGCTGTGGGTCTCGCCACTCTAACCATCCCCTCCATTGTCACCGGTAATATGGATTCCACCACACGGTGAGTCCACGTCCATCTACGCCTTCTTCGAACTTTTTCAACAAGCCTTGTATATCCATCTGACTTTTCGACTGTTCAGGTTGACATTGACCCTCAGCAGGGCATGACATGAACGACCAGTGTGAGGAGCATTCATATGGTCCCGCTGACATACCGCTGACATACAGATACAGCGTGCTGAAAGCCTTGGTGATGATAGCCGCCCTGGGGAAATAGAGATGACGGCCAGCCGCCCGCCGAGGAAACAGTCAGAGCTGTTCGCTGCGTGATTAAATTCTGGCTAGGGTTACTATATAGTAAAATGACGACTAGGAGACAAGTAGGATAGGAAATCAAAGAGCGGCGAGATGTAGCAACAACATGCATATCAACTTGAAAACAACTCCACTCAACCCGCAATCGCTTTCGTTGATCTTCCACTCCGACGAACGGCTTGGCGGAAGGGTAACCCCACTGTTCATACAGAATCTCAAGATGGAGGTTACCCTCTCCCATTACTCCACTAGCCCTAGGCGGCCGAGACGCACAGGACCAAGGCCGGTGCATTGTGGCTTGTAATTCGTCTGAATTACACTACACATACACCGCCGCATGCATTCAGCGATGATCACGACCCAGTTAAACCGCTAATTCTGTCAAATTCTTCGGTCAACCGCGATCCCATCCTCATAATCACCCTCATTTGACATCGGCCATAATCACAACGGTGTTCCATGCCTGTCGTGTCATTTTTGAGACTACCTGCACATGTGTTAGGATACCGGAGGAGTAGGAGGAGGTCATGATTTATGCACCGCAAATATTTACCGTTTCGTCGTGAAAGTTGGGTGATTTTGATTCCGAAGGATTCCACAATTCGGGATATATGTAGGCCGAAAGAAATATATGAGTAGTCAGAAAAATACGGCACTCACGACTCTAGGCGCGCCACGCAGTATTTAATCACGCACACGCGCTCTGCTCGATTGTGCCTCAATTCAACCAAAAAACAGCCTTCGAAAGCACATACGATCCCGCCCGGCCGCAGCCATCCGTCATGATCACCGCAGATCAACACCGGCATGAGCGGGGTGGGGTGGGTTGATCTAAGGAGAGCGGGTGTGGATATGGGTGTCGGGGCCCGGAGAGGCGGAATGTAGTAGAAAGTAGAATGGGGCGAGTAGGGTAGGCGGATGGACGCAGCACAGCATGAGCGCAAGCACGCCCGGGAGGATGAGCAGGGTGAGCTCGAGTTCAAGTTGGAACCGGAGGAGGGAACCCTCTCGCGGGCGGAGATATAGAGCAGATGACGGGCCGGAGAAGAGGTCGACGATTCGTGAGATGCGGAGCGGACAGATTCACAGCGAGCGGTGCACAACCCTCACAGCGAGCGGTACGCAACCCCTTCCCTCCTCATTTCAAAATTCCCGCTACCGTAAGGTACGAGTTCTTAGAGAGACCGATTTTTAGATTTTGGGCGTGCATCACATTTTGGTCAGCACTTTTCGCGTAATCGCCGTTTCTCCCTGCCAAAATGTGTCGGCTTGCCCAAGCCGTTCCTGATTGCCGAGTCGATAAAGCGGGTAAGGCCGACGTGCGGCAAGGCCCGCTACCAATTTTCGATATATGCATACCAGAATATGAAAATATTGTATTAAAGCTCGATGAATGCAACATACGTACTACGAGAAATATATATATTAAGTGAAACTAGACAGGAGTGTTGCGTGCGCGGTATCCGAAAACGAATAGCAGGGCGTCAATTGTGTTGGACTTTCCTGAGCCATTGGGGCCCACGATGGACGAGAAGCTCTAAGCAAGGAATAGATCTGTTGGGCGCCACTCGAATGGTGATTTGGTAGATACCTTGCGAAATGGGCCGATTTCCTGGTGCCCGGCGTAACTCTTGAAGTTAGCTCTGGCCATTTTATGGATGACCAGCCGAGATTTCGGGCCACCGCGGGTTGTGACATTTTCGACGGTGTGGGCAGGGGAGGCAGATTGAACATCTTGGACGGGAGGGGCGACGGCGACGACGGTGGCTGCGGGAGCGCTCTCTTGCTCGGCATCGGGACGAGGAGCCTGAGGGGCAGCCGAAGCTCGCGATTTCGATTTAGGTGGTGCTTTAGACTTTGCCGGCGCGCGCTTGCCCTTTGGCTTCTTTGAAGCGGGCTTGACTTTGGCATCGTCCTCGAACTCGGATATATTCATGGCTTTGTCGGAGCCCACCACGAAGTTCCAGAGAGCACGGAAGCAAAATTTCTCTGAATTATCTGCACCAAATTTTGACTAACTTGAATGTACAATTTGATGATAGAGACAGTGTCGGACAGTTGCACAGAAGGTTCAAGGCCTACATCGTTGATTGCAGCGAGGGAAAAAAGTTGAACAGTCGGAGGAACATAAACGTGCAGCACGCGCGAAATATGATGAACAACTTGTCGCAATCCGATAACTGTGGCCCCAACTCATACCACAGTCATTGAAGAACAAGAGACTCTGTACGTTCCGAGAACAAACAAATTCTGAAGCACTCTCCAGCTTCACTTGTGCTTCGTGCGCTGAATATGTCTCACTTTTTACTCATTGTCCCGTGGTTTTTGGCGATTCTCGGTTCTACTTGAATGGTTCTCAAACAACCAGACCTGAAAGTGAACGAGACCCATCTTCTCGATCGCTACAAGCGGCTGCATCCAGGTTGTATTCCTCGATCGTGGAGACGCCGCAGCGTGGAATCCACCAGCTCCTACAATGCCCGAGCGTCGATACAATTCCCCTGTGACTCCAGCTAAGAGAGGGGGATGAACTGCCTTCAATAGTTTTGGAACCAGGTCGCCGAGCCCCTAGAAAAAGTCCAAGCGCACCTAATTAGTCGCTCATCACTCTGTTGAATCAATTCACTGATCTTTCGTTCATGCGCAGTTTATTAGGCCAACTCGTATTTCACTCCTTCACGTAGTACACTGCTCAAGTAGTTTACAGTTCAGTTTAATAATTGAGTCTTGTGTCGTCTAACCAATCTAGGTAGCGGGCCGTGCCGCTCGTCGGCGTTACAGCTTTATTGCACGTAGCGGCCTCAGTTCTCAGTAGTTTGGGCTGAAACCTAGCTAGATCTTCCGAAATAATCCCAGCGTAATTAGTGACGGAGACAAACCCGTGGAATTACCTCATTTTGTTTGTTCTGAAAGCCGGCACCCTCCGGGCCCAAAATCTCGTCTAGCATGCCTGGGTCAAGTCGTTCGGGTCAGTCTTTTGAGAGGGCTGGTTTTAATCCACCAGAAACTGCTGCCGTCACGTGCATAAAAGGTAACCGGGTGGGAATTGAGCCCAGGGTGGCCAAAAAGCCGAAGAATATCGCAAATGCCCTAAAAGGGGGAGGGGGGAATAGTGCGCGCGCCCTAAGTTCCGCAAAGAGCTGTAATTCGGCCCGTTGAATGGGTTTGACAGGGCTGAGTCTATTCAAAAATGAATGATGTGCCAAGAAGAAGAGGACCTCCAATTGACGTGGACCAAAACACAGGAAGCACAGGCAAAAGCCAATGCGAATTGGATAAGCTATGCGGGCGCCGGGAGTCGAGCCCGGATCTGCTGCTTCAACTGGTGAGATCACGGAGTGAATGAAGGCAGCTGTGTTCCGTACACCACACCCGCTATCTCCTTGAGGCCGATGTCGTCCGTGTAGATAGGCATACCGAGTCCCGCGCCCATAGTCGTCATCGCGTTTACCTGCTGCCCCTTCTCGTGTGGTCTGATGAGCAGCGGAAGAAGCTCCTCGATGTACACATAACGAGAATAGTATCTGTAAATGTGCGGTCAGTCTTAATATATCTCGTGCAACCGAAGCGCCAAAGGGTAGTCCAGTCCCTCGCTCGTTTCCTTCGAGGTCGCCATCGAGTTAAAACCCACGCTCAGAACCAGGAAATTGATGTGCGACAGTCGTGCGCGCAATCCTGCGCAGGTGGAGCGGATCTCAGCCATGCTCGTTGCGTCGCAGGCGATGAACTCGTGGCGCCAGGCATCTCTGGATTCTGGACGCGGAAACCCAGCGATAACACGCGCTGCGGCGTCTGCATTGCGTCCGACGAGAATTATATGCGCCCGGCCGTTCGTGTATCGTGCAAATGCTTCCGCCATGCTTTGCCCACAATGACTGAGGTCCCACCCGCAAAGACCACGACGGGAACATGACTGGGAGCGTAGGATTTTTTGGAGGCTTTCACTTCTGAGGGACTGGGCATCGTTCGAGGATGGTGGCTGGTGAATGCAGAGAGGAGATTTACAAGAGGTTTATATGCAACCCATTTGCCCCATTAGGCACGGCAATCCCGACGGGTGCGCCGGCAATCGCCGGTTCGGCTTTACGTCCCGTGATCTCCATCCTCCTTCTTATCAACAAAAATGTGCAACCCCATAGTTGGCATACCTTCGTGCTTCGGGGAACTCGAGGATTTTCCGGGTGGTCGGGGGTCCGGGACTACTTGGGCCCTCGACGTCCGTAATACCATGCGAGCGTTTAAAGGCTCTATTGAGGTACTCGTCCGTCGTCGTTCGACAGACGCCTGAGGGAGGGGTGCCGCGGAGTACGCCAGGGCCATAGCCATCTCATCGCGCGGCGGAGGCGGCAGCACCAGCGACTCGTAGGGTTCTGAATCCAGCGACGGATCTCTGGGCATGAAACTCGTCGATGGGGCGGAGGAGCGAGGTTCTGGGTTTCCTTGGAGGCGCAAGGACCGTCGTAACCCAGCTGCTGCTCGGTGAAGCTTCTGTTTGGCGTCGGGCACTGGCCCGTGTCTGTTTCGCGGGGCCATCCTCCGAGGCTGGGTCCGCCCGTTTTCTTTTACCCCTGGGGACGTATGGAGTGGATGGTATTGGGTTAAACTCGAGGCTTGGCTCGTGGGGGTGATATAGTTGATGCGGGGGAGATGACGACTGTGTGGGAACCAAGCCAGCTCCTCTTAAGACATGCAGCGAGCTTCCTTCCCGCGTTTCAGCCGATGATAATCGGGGTCGTTTGGATGACGACGCCGCGGAACTAGGTTCTGGGCATCTCTTTCTTCATCCTTTTCTTTTTTCTTTGCCCGGCGTGTCGGAGGACTCAGAGATGGGTCTCGATGACCGGTATCAATGACTGGGCTCGATAACAACTCGGGACAGATTCCCATAGTGCCCGGGGGGGATGAGTCGTATTTTTTGAACTGCGTTGGAATGGGCGACGGAGCCGTATGAGTGTCTGAGCCCGTATGATCTTGGTGGGTGATTGAAATGGACGCGAGCGTCGCATCTTCCAATTGCGGCGGGGGAGTCCCAAATATTGCGTCAGTAAGCAGGTCTTCCGACGTTTTACTGTCAGACTGTTGGAGAGGATTTTAAATGGGTATCAATGCTGAGATTTCTGAATCTTTTTTAAAAACTCAGTTAGACTTGGGTGTCGTATTTTTTGTTTGCTCCGGGGTTGGGGATGCGTTCTTAGTCGAACCTCTGGTGGGCGGCGGGGATATTATTGAATAGAGGGGCGTAGGGAGGCTAGCGGAGTTGGTGGTAGACTATCAGGACGCTTGTGAACGCCAGCACGGATGATAGCGGAGTATAAGAGCATTGGCAAGGTCGTTGGCCACACATACGCTGGCACACCCAATGTGGGAATTGTTGACTACCAGTAATTGTAATCGCAAGCAAGGACGGAGCAGTTGTTTTTAATGACAATCGGCAGGCGGTGAAGGGAGGTCGAGTTGTTGTGTCCGGCTCTAAGCGGTTGATTTTTTGAAGAGGCGAATCAAATTCTCGGCTTGTTTTAAGCTTGTTTCAAGCTTGTTCGCAGCTGGGTAAAATCTGCCCAGCATGCTATAATCTCCGGAGCGACTTAATTTTATCTATTAATCGAATGAGTGGTCGACGATGTTGTATCGGCGCAGAATTTCAAAGGATGTATTTAAAGGATCGTGTCGGACGCCGAGGGTGCCGCTTGCATGCCGCCGGCCCATCAGTGGCAGTGCTTAGTACTTGTCAGTGTTTGCGCTTGTGGATCTCCTCGTTTTTTTCTTCTTCCTCTTTTTCGTTTTCTCAGTCGACGATGCGTGCGGGCTCTGCACATAGGAAGTGGGGCACTCAGCCACGAAGCTCTCAGCCCGCTCGCAATGACAATGGATGCGACCCAGACTACTCTTGGCGGGCGTCGACCCGGCAGACGTGGTAAATGTGCCAGCGCGATCGGCACTGAAAAATGCCCTGCGAGTACGCCACGCTTCCATCCCGCTATCCCACACTTCATGGCTGATATGTTCGTAATTTCCAGGCGCCCAGACCAAAATGCATACGCTTGCGGTACCTACGTCGCCTCCTCCTGTGACACATCGGTTTTTTCGTATGTTTTGTCGATTCGGCAGATTAGCCCCAACGCAAGTCACCCATTGTGTTCTCCGGCCTATGGCGATCCAACAATCGGTACGCATCATACTCTCTCTTATTATATCTGCGAAGGGGAAGGGCGTTGATGACACCATTTTACTGTACCACGAACATCCCCATATTTTGAGGGTGCAGTGAGTTAACACTACTACAACGGTATCTGAGCCCTTCCCTCCGCCAATTCCCCCTTGTCTCTTCAGTCGCGCAAGATAGACGCTGACGATTTTCTTCCAGTCGCCAAGACAAGAACGTTCGGCCCCCTCATGCGCCTACCCTAGGTATTCCTCGACTCGCGCTGCGTTTAAGGTTCAGTACCTAGAAACTCGCCGCGTTGGCCGGCGATCTCAGGTCGTTGTTATGGCTTCAGGTATCAGCGCGTTAGAGCGCGTTCCTAGACGCGAGACAGTATTTCACTAAAATAAATTTGGTGCCGCCCCTTGCGTGATAGTCTAACGAAAGGAACCACAAAATCATTGGAAAGGCCCTCATCACCATTTGTTAAATTTATAGTATGCGTCAAGCCAAGTTGCGCTCCTCATCGATTCGGATACATTCGGCCGACACACTCCTCTGAGTCATCAATTGCGCGATCATAACCTCGATCCTCAGCCTTATCCTCTTCTTTCCAAATGCTCCAACCTTGAAATCGCCCCTCGTTTTAATGAAGATGCTCCCTGATCTCTGCCATAGAGCGGAGGCCACCTTGACGCCGCCCTCCCCAGCCAGGCTTGCATCTGGGCGACCTTCCACCTTCTCCTAAAGAAAATCAAGTGCACTTCTCTGCGTCTTTCTATGGCTACCATCTTCCGGGGCGAAATATCTGAAATTTGATTGGGCGGGTCTTTTCCAAGAATTCACACGACCTATTATGTCTCCAGAATATCACTGGAACTTGAAGCCGCAATGAAGCGACCACTTTCGTCTGGAGTACCCTCGGCTCAAATGCTCCCTCTTTGGCAACTCCCCGGCAGAACATGCTATGAATGTGCAAAACTCCGAGCGGCGTCTTTGTCTCTGGGCTTAAATCCACGTCTTTTTGGTTCCCTGCGGGGGCCCGGTCAATCGGGTGGAAAACTAGGAAAGATCTGTAGCGCGCGGCAATCCCTCTACCAACCTTTCAGCGAAAATAGATGCTTCCACGGAATCAATTATCAATGCGCATTCTAAATTCTATGCGCGCCCGAAGACATATGATTCGAGAAACAAAATGAATCGACGCCGCTGCCAAGCGCCTAGGAAATATCGCCAGCCAGATCCATAGCTCTCCCCAAGGCCTCCACCAACGTCGTAGAGTAAATGCTTCCGCGGAATCAATTCTCGAAGCGTCGCAAGCGATCTCAAAAGCCGACCGAGCATAATTCGAATTATTCGCAGGTTGAAAGGTGCGCTTTCCAATATGTCTGTCCTCGCTATCGATGATAACCTCGCGGCGCAGAAGAAGGGGTCGCAAGTGGCCGCCAAGGTCACGTTTTTAGACGCGGTCAAAAGTCTTTGATTTTTCGCCCCAGTCACGTGCGCCAAATAAGGCAATTCGCGTGCCATATTTGTTCCACGGCCGGAAAAAAGCACCATTGTGACGGATGTCACTACCTCGTTCCTCTCTGCCACCACCTGCTGCCTCTGTCCCCGCCTACCGCCAACGCCTCACCACCTATCGACCGCCCTTACCCCAGGCGCAATGTGCGTTTGATTTGTCGATCCCGTCGGACCGACGCTTCTTGATGTCCATCAGCGGGGAGGGCAGGCATCTTGTCGCAACGGCTTGCCATGAAGGGTGCACATTCCATCCCATGAGGCATCCATGCTGTTTGCGTTGCGTCGGCGCGCTGTCTCGCCACCTCTCTCTGTACATAGTACTTAATAAATTCTGCTTCTTCTTACAAAATTGCTTGACTGTTATCCCTACTATCTGAGATCCAGACTTCAATATTCCGACCATTGAAAGTTGGCGGCCTCTGTCGTCGGACAGCGCAGTCACGGTGGCCTGTCACCTCTGGCCAATGATTTGCCTTTCTGAGCGAAAAGAACAAATATGACACGCGAATTGCCTTATTGGGTGCACGTGACTGGAGCGAAAACTCGCCATCTCGGTCATAACTCCGGCGCTTTGGCACTATTTAACCGCACCGCGCACCAAAGCGTAGCACGGGACTTCTCTCTCTCACTACCTTGACTTTGGCAGTGCCACCGACCCGAAATCCCTCCTCCTTCCTCCCCTGAGGCACCACTCACACCCAAAGCGTCAA